GGTAAAAGCACAGCAAATACCGGTAATTATAATACAATTTCACACTAACTCAAATTTTGCAGTGTCAAAATACAGTTCAATTTTTTGGAGACTATCGTAACAAAAATTGAGGTACTTACAATTTTTCGGGGGCGACGTTCATCGTCTGATGTATCATAGGAGGAATCTGAGTAAGAATCTGAATCTCTGCCTCCCTTTTTTTCAAGAAACTTCTTTGCATGTTTGTAGTCTTTAGTATCATGACTAACCAAGTCAATCTCTCTATCTGGAGGATATTGCTGAAAAACAAGAGCATTTTCACAATCATAGATTGATTTGAGGATAAAACATTTTATAATTTAACATACCGTAAAATCTCAATTTGTGGTAATAAAAATAATTCTTCTAAAGAACACAAATACCTAGCATACAAATGGAAATCATTTTTTCCTTGGGCACAAATTAAGAGCAAGTTTTGATTAAATAAATAGTGAATCATTTTTTCCGGATAAAAACAGGTAATTTAACATCTGTCATGGTATGATCTAGCATTTGCACAAAGCAGTGTCATAGCCATGGAGCTTTGCAGGAAATACCGGTACACAAACCTGCCAAAACACAGCACTGTGTCAAATTATGCATCAAATGGCCATCAGTCAGTCAGATTCCATTGAGATACCCGAGAAACAATGACATGTTCAAATTATGATTTGGGACTTAAATGGACACCAGTCTTCAACAGAATGAAACTTAATCAATGTGCATATGTCTCCCATATAATGTCCAGGCATGTTCGAGAAATGATGCCAGACAGGCATACATAAGCCAAAACATAAGTCACCTTTCAGAATTTCTCTGGCAGTTATGAAATAAGCAATGTTATTTTTGAGTGTACATCTTGGATACAGACGAATTTTTATGAGTTTGATTCTTCCAACATGTGGAACTGTCATTGTAGTGAGTTTGAATGAATGTTGTTAAATTTACGTGCACTTGTAATCCAGTATGTATGATCCTGATACAAAGCCCTCTATGCATCTGTGAGAAATGATTCCCTAAGAAATGGTTCCAAACATGTTTAAGAATCAGAGTTTAGCAATTTGTCATCAGTCAAAGCACATCTGAGAAATGGCTCTTGATGCAACACAAATTAATAGTTCCTGATTTAAAAAATCGCATGTACTGAAAATCATTTTCACTATTACCGCCATAATGTTCCGAACACTAAAACAGCAACATTGCTAACTAAGTTGCTGGCTGGTTTGCGTTTAGAACATGTTGGGTCAAACCAACCTCAACAGGAGATGTCAAACTAATTGTGGGGGACTCAGACAGGTTGAATATAAATAAAAGATCACAATGCAATTGCCTTTTAATTTATTTCATTCATAATATAATAAATGGCAAAGTTATCCAAACAAAATGTATGTACCAACACAGTATGAAATGTCAGTCTAGTGCGTGGCATAACACTCACAAGCAGTTAGACGAGTAGCGCACCCTCGTGAAAGTGGTGAACTAACCAGTTACAATCATGTAACGATATTCAAACATGCATAACAAACAAGTTAGAAACTTAGCTGGCAATGTTTGGAACAATATGAAGGTGACAGGAAATGTCAATTGAGTTAGAACTTCGTAAGATCCTTTTTGTCTACAACATTTCAGATGATTGATACTTTTACACGGGGAGTAATCTATGACACCATTCAAACATAATAGAAGCGGCATTCATGTGGTATTTTTGTCTGTCACTGGTTGCTATGGAACCCACCAAACCAAGGAAACAGACATGTAATGTATATCTTAAATCGATTTTACACAAAGTGGTAAAATGTTTAATTCATCAAAAACAATTTGCTGCACCCATCTAGACATATGGGTATCACATATGTGACGACACACAACAATACTCAGATGAGCTCACCTCCAGGGCTTGCATTCTGCTCACTAATTCTTCGTTCTCTTTGTCTTTAACCATATTTTTGAAAAACTCACAGAATGTCTTCTTGTAAACAAGTTTCATTTTATACTTTTGAGCCATCCTGGAAAAGACGACAAGAAATGAAATTAACACAACACCAATGCACCATGACCAATGCATGTACACGTCTCAGATCACACCAGAGTTCTTTCTAGTTAGTTTATTACTATTCATAAGCTAAATATTATTCATATAGTCATCCTCGTAGTTACAATTTAACTACTGTAGAATACTATATTTTCGCTTGCAATTTATTTCCGCTATTTTTGCTGAAGGGAA